TTTTTTTTTTTTTTTTTTTTTCAATTTTGTTCTTTTATCTGTAATTATTTAATTTTTTCTAGCCTTTATTCATTTTTCGTCATTCCTTTTCAATCTTAACTGTCATTGTTAGATTTTAGTCGATGCTGGGGTTGTTTACGGTTATCTGCCTAACCAAAGCATTATTTTTCTCTGGGCATCCAGACGCTTATACTGCCATAATAACAATCTTTCATCAGGGAGCCCATTCACAATAGGTGATTTTCAGTGGGGTCCTGAGAAAACACAAACACACAGAAATAAAAATGATAATAAATGATAAAATATTGATAAATAAAATATATAACTCTATAGAGGATAAATGTCAGACCCAGTTTTGGCGTCGAACTTCACATGCGCCGAATCCAGACCCATTGTTAAGTTCATTTGCACTAGACTCTGCACATGCAAAGCTCGACGCCCAAACTGGGCATTAATGGCATAATAAAATGATAAAAAATTAAGAATTAAATATTGCTTATAGTAATCTTAAAACGATTAAAAGATAAAGTTCTAATGTGTTCAGGGAGACTGTTCCAATCATCAATGCAGTGATATATAAAGCGGTTTTGTCCCCAGTTCTTTTTGGAATGTGGTTTGCGTAGATTGTTCTTATTACGAGTGTTCAAGAGAATATTAAGTAAGAGAGAACATCTCCCATTCATGGATCTGTAACCATGAAAGTTTTTTGAAAATCTATTTTTAGCTCCGCGCGCAAGCCTGAGCTAGTTTTAGCATGCGATTCCTGACTGTACAGAGTTGTAGTGAATTCAATGTGAGAGAAAAATGTTTAGTTTCCGACGAGAAAAATGCCTTCAACTTCTAGAAAAAGTTAAAATTAAACTATCATGTATTCTTCATAGACGAATTAAACACTAAACAGGTTTTCAGTATACGAACAAGCTAAGAACTGCGTAGACCCCAAGGAGGGAAACCGCGATAAAAAATGCGATGAAAATAGCAAAGAAGCTACAGTGAAGACAGCGAAAAAAGCATTTATCGTAGCGTTTTCGATAGTAAAGAGTCTAAGTTCAAGTGATTAAGAAGATGATGAACAATACGAGTATTTTGTTTCACACACGAATCAAACAAACTATTTGCATACAGAGGGAAAAAAAACTACAAAAGGCACTGAAATGATTTTTCACTATTATTTAATATGTTTAGCTTGCCAAAATACGGTATGTCACTTAACAAAAGATGTTGTCCATTGAGAAAAGGTGAATTAATTAAAAAGTAAAACTAGAAGTTTCTTTCATATTTTGCACCTTGAATTTTCGCACCGCCTCAACGTTCAGGTATTTTTTTCATAACTTTTCAACTTCTATAGTCTCCAACAGACAATAAAAATACAATCACAATATCGGCCAATTCAACAAAATTTGCTCTTAGCGAAACAGTTTAATCTAAAATGGCCTAGTTTTAAGATATAATATGTGTTAAAATGTACTTAAAAATATTCGGAGCGATTGCTGGCAATTGTATTTCTCTTCGTGGATTGATACGGGTTTTAAAACAATTTTCGATGAATTTGCGTTGATTTGACCCCCTCCGACGACCATGATCCTTTGCGTTTAAACAATAGATTGTTGAAGATTGTTTTGATGTGACGTCATAGTGAATCAGGGCAATCGAATAAAGTTTTGTTTGTGAACTGCATGAAGCTTGCCTTTGTCACTGCCGATCGCTTGTGTACCCATGACGTCACTACAATCTGACCAATCAGGAATCGCATGCTAAAATAGCTGAGGCTATGCGCGCGGAGCTAAAAATAGATTTTCAAAAAACTTTTCATGAGGCACAGGGATGTGCTCTCTTATTTCATATTCTCTTGGAGTGTTATAATTATGGGTGTCGGCAAAAGTTGAAAAGTTAAAATCCCAGTCCAAAAGACCGTTTATTCCATTGTGGATAAAAATGAAACGGTGCATAAGTCGTCTCGCTGACATCGCCTTCCAGTTTAAATCTGCTAGAGCTTTAGTAGCCGAAGGGTCTTAAAGTGCTTATAAGCCTTTACACAATATTTTCAGAATTGATTCTTTAAATAGTGAATAGTTGATTGTGAAAATAATTCGTCATTTGAATGTCGGGTCTTTGAGATACGAAGGTTTATATTTCCAATATGTTAATGACTATGACGTAACATAAGGGACTTGAGTTATTTTGTGGCAACTTTTAATATTGAACGCTTGAAATTTTTTGAAAACAAATTTGTAAGAACCTTTACGTGAGTCACGAGTAAAAGGGTGATGCTTTTAAAATACTGTATTTCAGAACGAGTGCAGTGTTGTATATTAAATGATGTAAACTGTAAACTAACCACTTTTTTCTATAAGTAAACCCCACGTCAGTTTTTAATGATAATAAATAATAATATTTAAAACGCGCATATTTCATGTGGATATGTTCATATGCGCAGAAATTAAGTCATTCAATTAAATGAATTGGATAAAGAGAAATAAAAATATACATAATATAGTATAGTATATAATAATATAAATATATAAAATATATAGTATATAGTAATAAAGATGTATAAAATTCTAAGTAAAAGCTAATTTAAAAAGGTATGTCTTAACAAGTGATTTAAATTTCCCGATACACAGTTCATTCCTGATTTCAACAGGAAGAGCCTTCCACAGCTTAGGTGCCGCAGATTGAAAAGCCCTGTCACCTAAAGTTTTTTTACATTTCCCACTAGCTGGATTTAGCAGAGTGCCCTTATGATTCCGGCGGTTATACTAGAAACCTTACTTACTGAAAACAAATCAGACAAATATTGTGGTGCTAGCCCACGTAAACATTTAAATGTTAACAGTAGTATCTTAAAATGAAATCGATATTTAATAGGTAGCTACTGTAAATCGAAAAGAACTGGTGTGATGTGGCAAAAAAGAGGAAGCCCCACAATAACCCTGGCAGCAGAATTTTGCACTCTTTGTAACTTATTTACATGTTATCAGCAAGCCCATACAATATCAAGTGGGAGTCAAACCAGGCTTTTTACAACAGAAGATTGGTTAATCTTGGATTCTCCAACTTGTAGATTGGTGACGTTCACTTTCTCCAGCTGTTGTTGGGTACCGATCACTAAGAATTCTGTTTTACCAGTATTCAGCTTCAGTATGTCCGATAGCATCCATTCTTTAATGTGTGAAATACACGCTTCCATAGCACTCACAGCCAACCTCTCATCAGTATCGTCGCCAGGCTTGAAGGCCAGGTACAGTTGTGTATCATCCGCATATGCGTGGGCTTGAGGCAGATGACTTTCAATAATTTTGAATAGTTTGCTTAATACAATATGAAGAGCAGAGGACCGAGGCAGCTGCCTTGTGGAACACCATATTCCAGATCAAACGAATCAGAAACAACACCCTCAATAGTGACACGTTGACATCTGTGTGACAGATATGACTCAAACCAGCTTAAGGCAATCCCTTATATGCCAAAATCAAATGAGAGGCGGTTAAGTAGAACGTTGTGATCTATAGTAAATTGTTAAAAACCTTGTTAAAAACTGTGTTTAAAAACTTTGTTAAAAGCTTTCGTTTGACATGCATCTCTAGTTTTTACTATTGTTTCTCCGCCTCTTTCATTTCTCATTACTTTGTCATGCAGCATATAATAGATATCTTATAACCTTATTTTGAAGCGAGAAATCTCAAAAATCTCACCCGCGAGGAGTCCAAAAAAAAAAACTGATAAAATTTATTTTGCTTTGTGTGTCTTAACGGGCTGGGCCCGGTTGTACGAAGCCTGGATAGGGCTATCCGACGGATAAATCTTATCCAGTGGATAAATTTATTGGATAACAGCATCGACTTATCCACTGAATAAGAATTTATCCATTGGATAGCGCTATCCATGCTTCGTACAACCGGGCCCTGAGATTTAAGGAGGCTCGAAACGGTATTTCTTGAGCGCGCGCGCTCTATAAATTTTTAATATTCAAACTGAGAAAAATCAAAAACTCAGTGGTGAAATTTCTTCAAATTTTGCATATGGCTTTAGTATATGTTTTCGAAAACTTAAGGAAAAATTTAAAAAATTCTGTAAGAGGGAACTATTCCAAACAAATTTCAT